CTTAACTGATAACCATACAGGCTGTCTGGACTGAGATTATTCCCAAACAAAAGGTACTTTTCTAACTCAACCACATGTACAGAGATCTAAGGAAACTGGAACAAACTGCCACTGGTTCAGCCAAACAATTCTTCCATAACAAATCTGCTTGTTGCAGAATAGTCCTACAAATTCATGAGCCACAGTCTTTGAACACCTACTGTAAGCCACATCCGAACATGTCTAAATGTCACTGCATTAGATAACAAAATATCAAACCAGGTGGCATCAGTAAACAATGCTAACACTTTACTTAAAAGCCTTCATGTATAATTAATAATACAAGTATTTTTAATGCATTAATTATGCCTCGTAATGCACCTTATTATGCATTGTAGGATCTCACTATTAATTGAAACCACAGTTATAATACATTATAATATTTATCTATTTTTGTTATACCTTAAGAAAGTATAATGCATTAAAACACATGACAAACAACCAATTAGGCTAAAGATGCAACAAGGTATCAGCAAATACTATAATGCATTTTAACTTTGGTTATAATTATTTATTAAAAGATGTAATGCATTATTAATGTACATTATGAATACCTTTATAATGCATTAAAAAATAAAGGCTTTAAGTGTAACCCAACTAGCTTTAGTCAAGATTTAAAAAAAAAAAACAACTTTTGACGTAAATGTATTTTAATGCCTAAATGACACAGCAGTGTCTGACAATGGCACCAAATAGCAGAGCAGTAACCACTGAGACAACATACTAGTGATGCTCATCGTTTTTAAACACTTCCCAAATACTTTTAATTTATGTATCGAACAAGATACATGTAGCGAATTATAGACGTAGTATGGAACGATATGGTATTAATGCCTTGCTGTCTACATGGACAACTGCCTATAAGGCAGCATACTAACTGAGATGGAAGTGTACTAATGAATTCCCTCAAAATAACAATAAAGTGCCTCTTTTTGGATATCACCTTTCTTTCATGCGCAGAAATCCTTTTACGACAGAGTTCATGTGTGATTCATGAAATATTCATATGCCACCAATCCCATCGTATGAATGATCGGACGACGATAAACTTGGTGGCTTAAAACAATCGCCATTTGAATACGGCCAAATAAGTTCACAGTTCAGAAGCTTTGCTCCTAGAGTTTACAACACAACCTGGCCAAGAAGAATAAATAATTTCATGATAGAGAAATTGATAATAAACCCAAAAACACCTGTTAACGTCGTAATCGTAAACAATTAAATTATTATATAACCATTTAATATAATTAATGCATTACTGTTGTAATGGATACATGGATATGATAGGCTATATGACACTGTCAGTGTCAATAGAATATTTCACTATTGGCAACACATTTTTGAATGATGAATACCGGTATGTGGTTTCTGAGCATGACCATAATTAACTGGATAACCGACAGTAAGAATTTTGATGGATTAATACTCTCAGTTAAACGGTTAAAGTAATTTAACAGACTGGGTCATCTGACCAATCAGAGCAGAGTAGACCAATCACAGCAGACTGGGTCATCTGACCAATCAGAGCAGAGTAGACCAATCACAGCAGACTGGGTCATCTGACCAATCAGAGCAGAGTAGACCAATCACAGCAGACTGGGCCATCTGACCAATCAGAGCAGAGTAGACCAATCACAACAGACTGGGCCATCTGACCAATCAGAGCAGAGTAGACCAATCACAGCAGACTGGGCCATCTGAACAATCAGAGCAGAGTAGACCAATCACAACAGATTGGGCCATCTGACTAATCAGAGCAGAGTAGACCAATCAAAACAGACTGGGTCGTCTGACCAATCAGAGCAGAGTAGACCAATCACAACAGACTGGGCCATCTGACCAATCAGAGCAGAGTACACCAATCACAGCAGACTGGGTCATCTGACCAATCAGAGCAGAGTAAACCAATCACAACAGACTGGGTCATCTGACCAATCAGAGCAGAGTAGACCAATCACAGCAGACTGGGCCATCTGACCAATCAGAGCAGAGTAGACCAATCACAACAGACTGGGCCATCTGACTAATCAGAGCAGAGTAGACCAATCAAAACAGACTGGGTCGTCTGACCAATCAGAGCAGAGTAGACCAATCACAACAGACTGGGCCATCTGACCAATCAGAGCAGAGTAGACCAATCACAACAGACTGGGTCGTCTGACCAATCAGAGCAGAGTAGACCAATCACAGCAGACTGGGTCATCTGACCAATCAGAGCAGAGTAGACCAATCACAACAGACTGGGTCGCCTGACCAATCAGAGCAGAGTAGACCAATCACAGCAGACTGGGTCATCTGACCAATCAGAGCAGAGTAGACCAATTACAACAGACTGGGTCATCTGACCAATCAGAGCAGAGTAGACCAATCACAACAGACTGGGCCATCTGACCAATCAGAGCAGAGTAGACCAATCACAGCACACTGGGCCATCTGACCAATCAGAGCAGAGTAGACCAATCACAACAGACTGGGTCGTCTGACCAATCAGAGCAGAGTAGACCAATCACAGCAGACTGGGTCATCTGACCAATCAGAGCAGAGTAGACCAATCACAGCACACTGGGCCATCTGACCAATCAGAGCAGAGTAGACCAATCACAACAGACTGGGTCGTCTGACCAATCAGAGCAGAGTAGACCAATCACAGCAGACTGGGTCATCTGACCAATCAGAGCAGAGTAGACCAATCACAACAGACTGGGTCATCTGACCAATCAGAGCAGAGTAGACCAATCACAACAGACTGGGTCGTCTGACCAATCAGAGCAGAGTAGACCAATCACAGCAGACTGGGTCATCTGACCAATCAGAGCAGAGTAGACCAATCACAACAGACTGGGTCATCTGACCAATCAGAGCAGAGTAGACCAATCACAGCAGACTGGGTCATCTGACCAATCAGAGCAGAGTAGACCAATCACAACAGACTGGACCATCTGACCAATCAGAGCAGAGTAGACCAATCACAACAGACTGGGTCATCTGACCAATCAGAGCAGAGTAGACCAATCACAGCAGACTGGGCCATCTGACCAATCAGAGCAGAGTAGACCAATCACAGCAGACTGGGCCATCTGACCAATCAGAGCAGAGTAGACCAATCACAACAGACTGGGTCATCTGACCAATCAGAGCAGAGTAGACCAATCACAACAGACTGGACCATCTGACCAATCAGAGCATAGTAGACTAATCACAACAGACTGGACCATCTGACCAATCAGAGTAGAGTAGACCAATCACAACAGACTGGGTCATCTGACCAATCAGAGCAGAGTAGACCAATCACAACAGACTGAGCCATCTGACCAATCAGAGCAAAGTAGACCAATCAGAGCAGACTGGGCCATCTGACCAATCAGAGCAGAGTAGACCAATCACAGCAGACTGGGCCATCTGACCAATCAGAGCAGAGTAGACCATTCACAACAGACTGGGTCATCTGACCAATCAGAGCAGAGTAGACCAATCACAACAGACTGGACCATCTGACCAATCAGAGCATAGTAGACTAATCACAACAGACTGGACCATCTGACCAATCAGAGCAGAGTAGACCAATCACAACAGACTGGGTCATCTGACCAATCAGAGCAAAGTAGACCAATCATAACAGACTGAGCCATCTGACCAATCAGAGCAGAGTAGACCAATCAGAGCAGACTGGGTCATCTGACCAATCAGAGCAGAGTAGACCAATCACAACAGACTGGGTCATCTGACCAATCAGAGCAAAGTAGACCAATCATAACAGACTGAGCCATCTGACCAATCAGAGCAGAGTAGACCAATCAGAGCAGACTGGGTCATCTGACCAATCAGAGCAGAGTAGACCAATCACAACAGACTGGACCATCTGACCAATCAGAGCATAGTAGACTAATCACAACAGACTGGACCATCTGACCAATCAGAGCAGAGTAGACCAATCACAACAGACTGAGCCATCTGACCAATCAGAGCAGAGTAGACCAATCACAACAGACTGGGTCATCTGACCAATCAGAGCAGAGTAGACCAATCACAGCAGACCGGGTCATCTGACCAATCAGAGCAGAGTAGACCAATCACAGCAGACTGGGTCATCTGACCAATCAGAGCAGAGTAGACCAATCACAACAGACTGGACCATCTGACCAATCAGAGCATAGTAGACTAATCACAACAGACTGGACCATCTGACCAATCAGAGCAGAGTAGACCAATCACAACAGACTGAGCCATCTGACCAATCAGAGCAGAGTAGACCAATCACAACAGACTGGACCATCTGACCAATCAGAGCATAGTAGACTAATCACAACAGACTGGACCATCTGACCAATCAGAGCAGAGTAGACCAATCACAACAGACTGAGCCATCTGACCAATCAGAGCAGAGTAGACCAATCACAACAGACTGAGCCATCTGACCAATCAGAGGAGAGTAGACCAATCACAACAGACTGGGCCATCTGACCAATCAGAGCAGAGTAGACAGATCACAACAGACTGGACCATCTGACCAATCAGAGTATAGTAGACTAATCACAACAGACTGGACCATCTGACCAATCAGAGCAGAGTAGACCAATCACAACAGACTGGGCCATCTGACCAATCAGAGCAGAGTAGACCAATCAGAGCAGACTGGGCCATCTTAGAGAGACAGAATAATTTATCAGACACTAGAGAAAAGAGCTGATGCTGAAATGTATTTAATGAGAAAATGAAAGCATTTCTTGACCTCGGATGTAAATCTATTGGGGGGAGACTCCATAACTAAATTAGGAACCACTGATTAGGATTAAGAACCAGGAAAATTGATTAAAAAGTAAATGAATAATTTGCAGCAAGACCATAGCGTAGTCCTTAATCCAGTGCCGAACAATCCAGAAGACAATTTATCACTCGTTTGTTCACTTTCAGAAGTCAGAAGTAATTACAGAAAACATTACAACACAGAGAGAGGCACTTACCAGCGCCGGGGATGATGGCCAATTTAGTTTCAACTAGTCCCATCTTAGCAGAGGCAGCTGTAAAACAGGTCCAAGTGTGGAGAACCAGTTAGCATATGCTTTTCAAATGAGATCAATGTCTAGTGTGACATCACTGACAAATATGAATGCTTTCAGAAGGCATACATTTAAAACCAAGCAAATAGTGATAACTTTTAAAAATTAAGGTTTATGTATTACATACTGTACAATATCTCATAAAAGAAGACAAGTACTAACAGTACTGTGAAACATGTAGTTTCGTATTGTTTTCATTTTGGATCAATTAAATCCATTTTTATTAATAATACTGTAATAAGAATCTTTCTGTTTTGTAATATAGAATGCAATGGTAAAAAAAAGTACTTTGACAAATTGCTTTAAATTTCCCTAAATGATATGTTCCTGTAGATGGAACTGGTAGAGCATGGTGCTAGCAACAGCATTGCCATGGGAACACACACTCAGCAGAGAAGTACACTGAGAAATAATAATACAAAAAACACTTAAAGGCATTAAATAATTTCTACATTTTTTTACAGCATGGCAACTTTGAGTCACATTACACCAATTAAGGTACTAAAATAGCCACAAATGAAAAGAAAGTGCCTTGTGTGCATATGGTCCATATGGTGTGAATTGAGCATTGCAGGAGACTTGTTATCGCATCATTTCTATCTAAATCTGGGTGTGTGAAGAGAACATATGAAAGAAGACATCTGCTAACTGACAGCATAATGAAGAAATGCAAATTCATTTCATTTTCCCCTGTGGTGAAAGTCAAGCTTTTAATGTTGTTTATGTGTCTATGTGGTGTTATTAATATGCTTTAAGACAAACCATGTGTAAGTTCATAAGTCGACAGCATTGCTGAGTATTTTCTCCTTAAACTGCAGTGAACCAAAGACAGTCTCAAAAACACGGTGTGAAATCGCTGGTGTTTCTGACGTCACACACTACCTTGTAACCAATCAGATCAACCTGTGATCGTCAACCAGTGGATCTCTGAGCTGAGTGAGTGAGTGAGTGGAGGCGGGGCTCATTTGCATATTCATAGAACCACGCATACTAAATCAGGCAAGGGTGTCGAGTTACATTCAATGTATTTTAAGGCATGATGCATTTTTCAAGGAAAAACTCAAAGTTGAGTTTTAAGGAATAATATTATTGACTACAGGGATTAAAGGAATAGCTCACCCGAAAATTAGCCATCCTAGGTGTATATGACTTTCTTCTTCCAGCTGAACACAATCAGGGTTATATTACAAAATATCCTGGCTCTGCCCAGTTTTGTAATGGTATTGAATAGTCGGGTCAGAGGTCACTCGTCGGGTCAGAGGTCACTCGTCGGGTCAGAGGTCACTCTTCCACCGGAACTAGACTCGCGTACGGCCGGAAGCCAGTGATTATAGTTTAAAAAGTTATAAATATGGATATTTTTCTAACAAAAACGCATCACTTCGCTTCAGACGGCCTTTATTAACCCACAGGAGCCGTATGGATTACTTTTATGATGGATGGATGCGCTTTTTTTGGTTTCAAAAACTCTATTCATGTTGAATGTTTTCTTCAAGACTGTTCCTAACTTTTTAAAGTCAGTCTTAACATAGTGGCTAAGTTTATGCAACTGGCCCCAGGACTAACTTCGAGGATCTCTCTACATCTCTAATATGGATTCACGTTGGAAGCACGTGGCAACAATAATATACTGCATTTATTCTGAAATCATTCATACTACACTGTGTGATCAGCTTCAGGTTGTTCATTTAACCTTACGAGGAAAAACCATAAACGAAACATGTTGTACCTGCCACTCTGATGTCACAGGCAAGAGCCATTTCAAGACCCCCTCCGAGAGCCGCCCCATCCAAAGCTGCAATCGTTGGCATGGGAAGAGTACCTGAAAAACATTTCATCAATGCTAAATCTGTAATACCCACTAGAGGTACAGCTCCTATACAAAAGGATCACACCCCTATCTTGATGCCTTCGCCTCCACATTCACGTACGACGACTACGGCAGACTCTGCTGTGCCTGCCGCCCGAGGGTATGATGTCATCAATCAGTGAAAGCAGTTTGTGTTACTATGATAATTCAGGTCGAATGTCTAATTGTTATCTAGCTGGCAAAGTCCCTTCCATCCCAAAAAACAAACACCGTTTTCATGAACAGCTCCCTACCTACATAACACGATAGTCCAAGTAACTAATGCATTACAAATGTGACAAGATAAAGGGGTTATAGTGATCACTGAAAGGAGAACCCCCCAAAAAACCTTCACTTGTCACATCAATAAAATAACACGTCCATTTTCAGGCCTTCTTTTTAAAAAGTTATATTCCCCTGACCTTTTCCTCTTTTGTATTTTCTCACTCTCTCTCCTCCCCCATCATGAGTGGACACGCCCCCTACTGCTGATTGGCTCACTCTCTCTCCTCCCCATCATGAGCGGACACACCCCCTACAGCTGATTGGTTCTCTCTCTCTCTCCTCCCCATCATGAGCGGACACACCCCTACTGCTGATTGGCTCACTCTCTCTCCTCCCCCATCATGTGTGGACACACCCCTACTGCTGATTGGCTCTCTCTCTCTCCTCCCCCATCATGAGCGGACACGCCCCCTACTGCTGATTGGCTCACTCTCTCTCCTCCCCCATCATGAACGGACACACCCCCTACAGCTGATTGGTTCTCTCTCTCTCTCCTCCCCATCATGAGCGGACACACCCTCTGCTATTGACTGGCTCTCTCTCTCTCCTCCCCCATCATGAGCGGACACGCCCCCTACTGCTGATTGGCTCACTCTCTCTCCTCCCCCATCATGTGTGGACACACCCCTACTGCTGATTGGCTCTCTCTCTTTCCTCCCCCATCATGAACGGACACACCCCCTACAGCTGATTGGCTCTCTCTCTCTCCTCCCCATCATGAGCGGACACACCCCTACTGCTGATTGGCTCTCTCTCCTCCCCATCATGAGCGGACACACCCCCTACAGCAGATTGGCTCTCTCTCCTCCCCCATCATGTGTGGACACACCCTCTGCTATTGACTGGCTCTCTCTCTCTCCTCCCCCATCATGAGCGGACACACCCCCTACTGCTGATTGGCTCACTCTCTCTCCTCCCCCATCATGAGCGGACACACCCCCTACAGCAGATTGGCTCACTCTCTCTCCTCCCCCATCATGTGTGGACACACCCTCTGCTATTGACTGGCTCTCTCTCTCTCCTCCCCCATCATGAGCGGACACACCCCCTACTGCTGATTGGCTCACTCTCTCTCCTCCCCCATCATGAGCGGACACACCCCCTACAGCAGATTGGCTCTCTCTCCTCCCCATCATGAGCGGACACACCCCCTACTGCTGATTGGCTCACTCTCTCTCCTCCCCCATCATGAGCGGACACACCCCCTACAGCAGATTGGCTCACTCTCTCTCCTCCCCCATCATGAGCGGACACACCCCCTACAGCAGATTGGCTCTCTCTCCTCCCCCATCATGAGCGGACACACCCCCTACAGCTGATTGGCTCTCTCTCCTCCCCATCATGAGCGGACACGCCCCCTACAGCTGATTGGCTCTCTCTCCTCCCCATCATGAGCGGACACACCCCCTACAGCTGATTGGCTCTCTCTCTCTCCTCCCCCATCATGAGCGGACACACCCTCTACAGCTGATTGGCTCTCTCTCTCTCCTCCCCCATCATGAGCGGACACACCCTCTACAGCTGATTGGCTCTCTCTCTCCTCCCCCATCATGAGCGGACACACCCCCTACAGCTGATTGGCTCTCTCTCGTCCCCATCATGAGCGGACACACCCCCTACAGCAGATTGGCTCTCTCTCCTCCCCCATCATGAGCGGACACACCCCCTACAGCTGATTGGCTCTCTCTCCTCCCCATCATGAGCGGACACGCCCCCTACAGCTGATTGGCTCTCTCTCCTCCCCATCATGAGCGGACACACCCCCTACAGCTGATTGGCTCTCTCTCTCTCCTCCCCCATCATGAGCGGACACACCCTCTACAGCTGATTGGCTCTCTCTCTCTCCTCCCCCATCATGAGCGGACACACCCTCTACAGCTGATTGGCTCTCTCTCTCCTCCCCCATCATGAGCGGACACACCCCCTACAGCTGATTGGCTCTCTCTCCTCCCCATCATGAGCGGACACACCCCCTACAGCTGATTGGCTCTCTCTCCTCCCCATCATGAGCGGACACACCCTCTGCTATTGACTGGCTCTCTCTCTCTCCTCCCCCATCATGAGCGGACACGCCCCCTACAGCTGATTGGCTCTCTCTCTCCTCCCCCATCATGAGCGGACACACCCCCTACAGCTGATTGGCTCTCTCTCCCTCCCCCATCATGAGCGGACACGCCCCCTACAGCTGATTGGCTCTCTCTCTCTCCCCCATCATGAGCGGACACGCCCCCTACAGCTGATTGGCTCTCTCTCCTCCCCATCATGAGCGGACACACCCTCTACAGCTGACTGGCTCTCTCTCTCTCCTCCCCCATCATGAGCGGACACGCCCCCTACAGCTGATTGGCTCTCTCTCCTCCCCATCATGAGCGGACACACCCCCTACAGCTGATTGGCTCTCTCTCTCTCCTCCCCCATCATGAGCGGACACACCCCCTACAGCTGATTGGCTCTCTCTCTCCTCCCCATCATGACAGACACGCCCCCTAGAGCTGATTGGCTCACTCTCTCCTCCCCCATCATGAGCACACACGCCCCCTACTGCTGATTGGCTGACCCCATCAATCCCAATAAAGAACCTTTTTATTAAGAGTGTATGATGTAAACTAAATTAACAATTTGTTCATTTAATCAAATTCTTCCAAACACTATCCATCTCTGCTATTGGTAGTTACTGTACATTTTACACACAATGACGCAAAACGTAACTGCGTATGAAAATATCTCAATGTGATAACTTAATAATTAATAATAATAACTTCATATAACAGTTTAACTTACCAAGCTCTGTTATAAGTGTCCTTGCTTTAGTAACAAAAGGTCCTACTTCACTCTGGTGCATCTTTGCTCTTTCTTTTAAGTCTGCACCTGTTCAGACAAACGTGTGTTAATGCACATTTGTGAAAGATACTGTAAATCCCATTTTTTCTAGTGCAAAAAGTCATGGAAATGTAACCACACAGGTATTTTTGTGTGTATTAAAATGCACTTTTCCCTTGTCAAATTTTAAGGGAATTTTATTACAAAGGAGTAGTTTGTATGAGTTTTGAGAGTTTGAGTTATGAGTCTGTGAAATGAATTTATGAAAGCATGTCACAAACAACTGCAAACAATTGATCAGTGTTAATGAGATGATCCGGTGACTCACTGACATCTCAATGGAAATGTACTTGAACTTTAAATTTATAGACCAATAAAAAGAAAGAAATCTAAATGTATTTACTATACCAAATTTACTGTTTTAATAAATAAACAAAGGTGTTCCAAAGCTGAGGTCACATTTCTTCTGATCATGTAAACCATTTTAAGTTTGATTCTACATTTGCGTGCTCTTTTTTGTGTTCAAGAGTCTCTCTAACTTTGATATGCACCAGAAGACTTTGCATGTGCTTGTGTTTTTGCTGTCCCACATTCCCATCCGTATGACCACATCTTAATTGTGTACAATCATCTATTTCACATTATTCTGAAGGCAATGTTTGTTTTCAGCAAAAATGTAATAATTTTTCTCTACCAATATGTCTATTTTCTGTTGATCTAACCAAGACTGTGTAACCAATAATAATACCATCATACCAACATCAAATCCTGAATATTTGTATACAACTTGCATTGATCAGTTTAACGGCTCCATACCTGCGCAGAATACTCCAGGCACCAGACTGCATAAAATCACAGTACGCACTGCGTTGTTCTTCTTCAATGACTCTACGGCTTCGGACATCTGGCAAAAAAGAAATCACAAAAGTGGGGACATTATGTAGGCCATAGCTCTTATTTGTTATCCAATCATATTCTAGTCTATCAGGCCTTTCAGTGCTCTAGGAATTGGTACAATTTCAACACTAGCCCTCTTCGGACAGGACTGGAGAAATTCATGTTTCAGACGTACTTTGTAATTATAATCCCGTCTGAATCTGCCAAGTCCCGTCAGAATGAAATCACAGACGTCGAGTGAAAAGAATCGTAACGCAAACGTATTTTAGAAAACTAGGTGTGCACCAAGGCAGGGGTTTTCAATCTTATAGATGCCACACACCCCCCAATATGATCAAGCTTGTGTGAGGGACCCCATCTTAAAATTCAAAAGGCATCGATCTTTTACAAACACCTAAAATTAGTTTATATTAGTATATATATTAAGTAATTTACATTATTATATATATATATATTCTACTTACTATAGTAATGTACATAGTCCAACGTATTAATATATATTCAAATTTTAATCTAATGTTCATTTTTATTAATCAAAAGTTTTAAAAGTTGTGAATTGTGAAAATGACGTGATCCAGGACCTTTATACAGTCTATTCCTCACAGCCTCATTTTCATCTGTGTTAAATTCAACATGGAGTCCACCCTGACTATGATCTATAGTGATTAGAGTACAACAGCGGCGCTGGTTCCGGAAGGTTTTTTTTTTTTTTTTCATTAATTTTTCCCATAGGGATTTTAAAATATTCTTTGTTAGACTGTGTAAGCAGGGCCTAAAATTCACACTTGGCAAGTGCCAAATGCGAGTACAAATCGGTGTTGGCAAGTTCATGAAACATTGCCAATCACCAGTTGGCCGGTCACATTTTACGAATTCTAACAATGCTTGTTAATTTAAATATTCAAGCGCAAGAAGCAGCGAGAGGGAACTCAATGTATTAGACACAGAAATCTGCGTCTCAGACAGTGAGAATAGTGAATCGAGCTCTCTTGCACAACATCCTCTTGTGCTTGAACAAACATATTCAAACAAAATTATGTCAAAATGCCCGTCTTGGCAAGAATCCTCGTAAACAGTCAGTTATATCTTAAGTGATCGTAAACAGTCGAGAAAGAAATCGTAACAGTATAATGGATCCGTGCATTCAGTCTTAAAGTGACAGCAGCCTAATATTCCTGTGTGTTTTTAATGTAAACCAAACAACAACTGACAAAGAGAAATCACTCACTGCTCTAGGCTGAATAACTTTTGTAACTTTAATAAGGATTAATCTACGTTTAGTGAATTTTCTTTAGTCACCGGCCATTGACAGGTGTGGCTTTTATGGTTTTAGTGAGGGAAGAGCTACAATCCCACGAAGCATTGCGAACAGCATAATCAAATTAAAAACGAAGGAGGAATATAAAACTACTGTTACAAATGTTGATTTTATGTATAAAAACAATATATTTTAAGTGTATTGCACAATATGCATATATATATACAGAAATGTCAGTATTTTGAGAGGTCGACTGTCAGAGTGGGCGGAGCTAAAGAGCTATTTTGGAGTGTTGCTTTTCTGATTGGTGGAATTTTCTGTACAGCATCATGGGTAATGTAGTTTTTCACCAGGAATTTCAGCAAATACTGAATCAATGAGTATTTACTGTAGTATGCAAATACTACCGATGAACAACCGCATAGCTCACACAGTAGGTCTGTCTGTAAAGGTTTATAATATTGTTCAAAATGTATTTCCTAATGGAGAAAATGAAAGGAGTTTTTACAGGGTTCGAAATATGATTGAATCTTTGTGGGGGTCTCTTTAAAAAAAAAAAGGTAGCAGGCGTGATTCCCACATAATTCGAACCATGAGTTTTTACTTCCTGAACTTGACTGTTGTGTTACATTACATTTTGACAAGTAACATTTTACAAATACTCACCATCGTAACAAGATTCTTGCTGATGGCATTTTTAGATTCAGGGCGATTAATCCCCAAAACAACAATCCCTAAAAACACAAGAACAGTTAGACTACAGAAGACAGGAAAAAAATATTTGCAGGAAAATGAACGGCATTATGAAAAAAAAAAAAAAAATCATAAGTGACATGACAACTGAAACAACCTCTGAAAGTCACAAGAAACCCTCAAGAAACAAAACAAGTTAAGAACATTTAATTGCAAATATGTTATGTCGGGGTAAGGTTAATGAGCAGGTGTTAAATCCTAAACTCGGGCATTTGTCAAGGACAGTTGTAGTAAGAGAGGAATGATCATAGGGCAGTGCAGAAACTGTCTTTGAGTGACAGCTAGACTCGTATCCTACTACAAGACTCTGTGATCATCAATGCCAGCATCTGGTTGTCTACCTGAGTCTTCACCGTCCAGGTGTCTAACGATAAGGTCATCTCCAGACTTAACGTCGGAGCTGTGCAGTCGGACACCTCCGTTGAAAGCGTGACGCGCACAATGCACCCTCTCGGTTAGAAATGAATGCAAAACACTGTCCGCCCTGCACACGCCGTTGATTATGCTTGTTTGACATCGGAAAGCCTGAAACAGCACTCTGCACTTCACTAAAGCCGCCATGCTGAAGCTTTCCTCCACTTTCAACTCTGAACTGAGCGAGTGACGTCACACGTGTGTCGGGGGTCACGTGACCGCTGACTGGGATTTCTCTGAAGAAAAAAACTGGATTCGCCCAGACGTCATGAACCTTAGCAGCACACAGTACTTTAGGTAAAATATATAATATAGCCCGTATATGTAATTTAAATAATACATTTGTAAAGACATGTGCACCATTTGTTATTGGCTTTTACATTTGTTCATTTAACAGACTCTTTTATCCAAGCTCGGCTACTTACAAATGAGGAACATCTAAGCAATTTGGCGATTACGCAAAGCAGAGGTTTTCAATAGCCTACTGTATTAGATGCCAGTGCACGGACCGCCCAAATATGACCTATTCTACCTTTGTTAATCATTTGTGCAGGCAATGGAAATGAATGGATTTCGTCATTTTAAATACTTTTTTGTTTACATTTGTAGAAGAACCAATCAGTGTGTTGTTTCAGCATTTGATGTCCAAAATAAGTTCGGTTTCCTGTTGCAAAACCAGTTGAAAACCACAAGTATTACTGATGATTACAGTAGATACTGAGAATGGTCTGAGGCTCTGAGCCCATTAGTCTAACCTGATTATCAAATAGGAAATCTATTTTAAAAACATTTTAATATCAAAATTATTTTTATAAGCTGGAAACACTCAGGTGACACTATGAATACTGCATTGATAATACATTATTTATAAGGGTATAAGTGAATGTGTAATGCTTTAAAACCTTACTTATGTTACTTTACTTAAAGCAGTCAAAGACCACTTACAAATATTATGACCAATTTATAAAGCCTTTTGGATGTTTACGAGAAGACTTTGTATTTGTAACTTGACAGTAATTAAAAAGATAGGCATATAAGATATTGTGTAAGTCTTAATGTCAAGATATGAGGCTTATAACACATCATAATTATAGGAATTAGAATACATTATATGGTGTTTAATGTGTTACCATGACACTTATAAATGTTATAACCACAAATAAACTAAACATTCAATAGTAAATGTTCTTTTAAAGCTGCACAGACAAAGGTGTTATTCTTACCTAGGTGAGCGAGAAAGGGGAAAAGAGACAAGTATTTCAGTGCTTGCAATGCATTTATTGTAAACAAAAGAGAACATACAATATACAATACATTTCGAGAAGTTAACATTAACAGTAGCCCACAATTTTTGGCTTTTGGGCTACAAATGGAGTCATGAAGAAGACACGCCAAACAACAACAGTAAGTGCACAAAAAACACCATTCTTCTCAATGAAGTGCAGCTTTTTGACACCATAACAACCGCACAGTGCAGTAGCGAACACAGTGGAAAACAGGCGTTGTGCAAATAGAGAGATCTCCGTTTCAGAAACGTCCTTTTCACAACGAGTCAATTTCAGTAGTGCTTTTTGTGAACTCGATTACAGACCCCTTTGTGATCAGTCTTTTCAAGGAGGCCACTTCTGCCGACAGATCGGCAATGCCCTGTTTCAAGTACAAGTTCTCAGATTCGGAGTTGGCGTACGAGTCGTTTTCAAGGTCGACGATGAGTTTGTTAGGTCTGGGAGAGTCTGGACAGTGCCGGTGTTTGCAGCCGGTTGGTTCCTCCTGGTGATTATTCTGCCACTCCTTCGGCTGGTGACTCCAGTCCTGAACATTGGTCACCTGGAAGGACATCGGGCTAAGAGATGACTGGATGTACTCGGGTGTAGTGTACTGACTCATTTGGTAGCATCCACTTGCAGACATGTCAATGGGAAAGGAGGCCTTGCCAGATGATTCATAGTCGGGATCGATAGCCTCCACTTTGATCTGGATGGCCCGGGCTTTGATCCTCAACTTGTGGGGCAAAGCCGAGGCACTGGCGTCTGGCACTCTGAGGGTGGACACAATCACACTCTGTGAATCTGGCCTGGGTGGAACTGGACCCTTCGGGACCTGCTGTTCGTCCTCTCCATCCGAGGACTTGCTCACGGCCCCGTCATCGCCATCAGATGTTCGTGGCGAATTGCTGGAGGATCTGGTGATTTGCAAGAACGGAGATGGCTGGGAGAAGCTCTCGGGGAAAGGGCTGCCAAGGTAGTTCCTGTACAGTTCATAAGGACTGGCCCTGTCTTTGGCGTATCTGCCGGTTTCCAGGGGTTCTCGTTTGATGCTGTCAGGGGTTCTGGAGATATTTATAAGTGGGCTCCCTTGGGTCACTGTGCTTGAGTTGGATCTATCGGACGAGGCGCTGTGAGGTGAGTGCTTGATGACCGATATGCAGCTGCTGGTCAAGCGTGCCGGTTCCAGTTCACTCGGGTAGGAACCATTGCTGGCACTGGCTGGCATAAAGTCCTGGTAGAGCGCAGCAGTGGAGCTGGAGATGTTCTGCACCTCCTGAGCATACGCTGCTGAGCTCACTAGACCAAACCTGAGTTTAAGAGACAGAAGCTCGGACTTCAGCGACGCGTTCTCTTCCCCGAGGGCCATGAGCTTGTTCTCCAGAACCATATCGTTGAGTCTGCGCTTTTCTCGCGAGCGCTTGGCTGCTTCGTTGTTCTTGCGCCTTCTCTCCCAGTACGTGTTGTCTTTCTTCTCATCTGGTATGAACTCGCGTTTTCTGCGACAGGTGTTGGACTTGGTCTTAAAGGGCATTGTGGACAACTTGTGGTTAATCAGGTCCCGGTCTGTCCCTTGCAAAGCCACTGCCAGCACCAGGGCATCGTCTCCACCGTAGGGCTCCTTTTTAATGGCTTGCATATTACACAGGGTTGTCATCAAGACTGCTTAAGCTCATTAGTTGACTCCGGTTTTAAGTAAACATCTCATCGTAGACCACGTGCTATAGAAGTCATGTGTGTCCTCTTTGTGAAGTCAGTTCCAGAGAATCTTTTTATTGGATCTGGGGAGATAAAAAAACAGAGACACATCATCATTAATATGGTCAGGAGCGTTTCAAGCCTTTTATCAGGAACCCCACCTCATCACAAAAGTACCTTCGGACTTTGTTTGATACTGCTGTGGATATAAGGCCCTGTTTACACCTGGTGTTTAGATGCGTTTTGGTCGATCGTATCACAAGTGGACGAGGAAGACATTTCTCTTTTGTCCACTTTCAACCACTTCTGTCCTGATTTATTCGAGGGGAGGGTCAATGGGAGGGTTAATGTATGGGCTTTTCCAGATCTTTCGATCTAATGGACAATTTGGACAATGGACAATTTACATATGAACGCACCCAGAGACGACGGAGACACACACGGAGAGCATCAGCTTTCGTTTTTCATCTTCAAACCAAACTTGGGTCTCCAACCGTCAAGTCTGGCTAGCCCTCTTCCCATAATGTTTAGGCCAGTAGCCGAAAAGAAGATGATCTTTATTGGCTGCTTGAACACATTCGATCACATGAGCGTTTACATTATGAAAGAAATTCGGTCGAATGCGTTTTCGAATACCTCTGGAAGTGGACAAGTTTAAAACCTTTAGACCCCGTTTACACCTGTATTAGCGTTGTCCACTTGTGACCTGATCGACCAAACGCATCTTAATACCAGCTGTAAAGAGGGCTGTCTATACCTGCAATACAGGGTGATATCTGCACGAGCAATACATATCTGCTAATCAGATTAAGACATTTGCAAGTTTTGTTCCCTATAATGGATTGTAGGTAAATATCCACCTCATCCAGCACTCTTTTTGTTTTCTGTTTTATTAATAACCCTTAAGAAGAAGTGAGAAATTGCTGCAAATGTGAGTGATGATTTCAGATGACAGTTTCAAATGATCTGCAAACCCGTTTGACACTGATCAGATCAAAAATAATTTTTATTCTTATATTTTATGTTTTCATTCTAATTTTAGTTAAATTTTTAGTAATTTAGCTGTTTTTGTATTTGTCTAAAAACGGTGCATATAGTTTTTATGAATTATTATTTCAGTTTTAGTTTTTTTTTTTTTGGAGGCTAAATCAACTTTATTAAATGTAAATGAGAAATGTTGCCTTGGCAATGTCGGCCAAATAAGTTTATGTATTTATTTTATTTTTGTATTTATTTATTTCAAGTCACGTTTTTTATGGTTCTATTTTTTTTTTTTTTGCATTCATTCATTCATTTATTTATTTCATTTCATTTCAAGTGACAAAAGGTTTTTATGGTTTTAGTTTTAGTTAATAGCCCTTAACCAAAGTTGACTTTGAAACATGAGAAAAGTAAGAATGGGCACTGTTTCTATTTTAAAAAGGACAGGACAATAGTTTTAGCCTATACATGTTGATATTATGCAAGGCGAAACGTGCTTATTAAAATGATGCTCTGCCCCATTATGTCATCATTTTGAGGCGGATCGTGCTCAAAGTAACGCAACTCACGCTTTCAAACGTAAAGGGCTTTTGTAATGTGGCTGTGATTGAATTAAAATACGGAAACCCTTTCGAAGTAGTGCGTTCATATAGAGGCCGGTATAATATGATTATATTCATTCACAGCGTTGCAGAAGACGAATTTGAAGACCGGATCTGACCATGACCTTTACCGTGCAGATCAAACAGCTGGAGTTACATCATCTAAAGCGGGCTGTGGTCATGAACTAAAGTTTTCCGTGGTAAATAGCACTGCGGTTCATCACAACACTAAAGAGAGTTAGAGCAGGCTGAACTCAGGCTCCAGTGCAGGCGCAGATCGAGCAGGGAACAAAGGAATGCGAGCATCACACACACACACACACACACACACGTGGCTGATCACAGACTAATTCATTCATACAGAAAAATGCGGTCGAAACACCTCTCAACTCCACAAAACACGGAAAAGGACTTGTATTCTTATACTATAATGGTTTATGGCAACCAATTATTTCTCTACGTCAAACCGAGAATACATTTCGGGCGAGTGTTCTGGTTTTGGGATTCATGGAATAATAAAGAGATGGCTAAAGTTAGCTGGCGTGGAGTGACACTTAAACCGGGTTTAATATGGAACACACACCATAGGTTCCCCCTGTTGTGTTGTTCTTTGACAGGCCGTTCATGCACACTCACCCCATCCCGACAGACACACTCAGGACAGTCGCAGATCTGTGCGCGTGGAACATTAACCCGAGCGATAGCATTCGAGATATAGATTTGTACAGATTGTCAAGAAATATCAGTCGTCTCTGAGCATTAAACAACAGCTCGATTGTGATGTCGTGCCGTTGCGGTGTTTTTTTTTTTTTTTGTCAGAAGTGTCCCAGCTTCCGTTATTATGCAAGGACTGTAAGTATCAGTCACTGTATTACACAATGAACGCAAACAAGCGGAGCGACATTTAATTTATGCACGTATTATTAACATTTACTATTAAAGCGATTTTAATTTTTTAAATATTAAATCCACCAATCATCTAGTCTATGTAACATCTTGATTTTTAAACGGTAGCCTATTAAATGAACTTGCGCAACGTGTCAATGTCTTATGTGCTGACCCGAGAGCTTGATACACCCATATGAATACTGGGTCACTTGTTCCATCCCGTCTCCAAATCTCTCAAAAAGATCATAGCCTATGTGATTATGAGCGGTACAAATGCATGGGTAATTATAACGTTGAACACTAAAATTCGTCTGCATTGATATGACGTTGAGCGAAAAATAAGTATGGCGCACATATTGCAAATAAGCCACGTTAAAGTTGCTTTACTGTATTCATCTGTTACAGTCATAAACACCGGCTACCGGTTGAAACCCCTAAACGAGCCCTATCCGTTCATACTAAGCCTCACAGTAAAATAAGAAAGCAGTACCTCTAATAAGCAAGGGTCCAATTAGACGGAGGTCCGGGATAAATAATGTAGGCCTATATGAAAACATTCAAAGCTTCAGCAGCAGTCATAAAAATCCCATCTGGAAATGATAGTTGTGTTTCTCCTGCGCGTTTTCCTGGCGGAGTGATTGCTGCCTCATGGATCGGTGTTAGTAGGTCACCACTGAAGCGCATTGGCGGCGTGCTTCGACTGGCACATCGAGCGACCAATCCAAACACAGCATCTTCCGACTTCAGCCAATCACTCGCTCCTCTAGCGCACATATGCAATAACGACTCCATAACAATATGAACCGTGATATAAACCTCATGCGCTAGAGAATCATCATTTTACTAAGGGTTATTCTCACCAATCAAAAACTCACTACTGGATGCATTATAAAGCAGTCAAACTCACAAGTCATTCTGTAATTTGGGTTCAGAATGTTGCATTCTGATGTTGTTAGTGCACATCTTTAGATCTTTGTGTTTGAACTTCTGTTTTTGTGGGATAGCTCTGTATATTTCTATGGCATCATCGAAGAGTAATTATCTGGTCAAGTGTATTTACTTATTGTAGAGTTAACGAAAGTTATCATGCATGAGCATTGTAATGTTTAAAGGATGCCATAACAAATACCAGTAGAGCAGGTTTGATTTTACAACTATGCGTTCATTCATAAATCCGTAAGATCTTACCTTCATGCTGTGGAAATACAGAACAAGGGCGGGGCTACATAAGAGGAACAGCTTTAAAAAGCCTCTTCTATGAAATGCTCACAATAAAACTTTCTAAAAGCATTTTCTCCAACCGGCAACCACACTTCGAATATCCAGACATGAATCTCTGCGTGCCCAACATTATTAAACCATGTCTATAACGCATTTACTATTAGCCTGTTATTATCATAATTACTGTTGTATATAGTATAGTAGGACTAGTATTATTATAATTGTAAATCTTGATATAGAAATAAATAACCCCTAGTTATATAGCAATTATTCTAATTATTATGTCTATTTAATTACGTGTATGCAGTTGTTAAGAGAAATATCTGTTTGAAAGAAATGAAGCCAGCTAGTGGTATTAAAATAAAAGTTCAGTCGAATATGGATACCGTTTAAACAGACTTACATAAAGGTGTTATGCATTATTATTACATCGTTTAAAGGACACAGCCACTCTAGAGTTCAACCAGTTCCAATTTCCATCACAGAACTCACTTACCATCGTATGCTTTTCCGCAACAAATAAAACTAGTTTGATATATTTGTTATGGCATGTCATTTTTATATAATGTATGGTTGTCTAATGGTCGATATGATATAACAGGTGTGAATGCGTTATGTAACCTAAAACTAAAGGAGTTGCACAACGTGGCGCCCGAGATGACCTACATTAAATAAGATGTGTGCGACTGCGCCATCCAGTGGAGACACACACAGCATTCAGAAAGAGTTTCACACAAAACATACACACATAAGCCTAAGAGTTTACGTTCATTATATTCATTAAAACATTTTAAATATAATTCTTTTTTTTTGTAAGTTGCAAAAGGTTTGATGTTAACAGAATAAAAAAAAAAAGTTTAGCAATGTTCAAAGCATAACAACATACCAAAGCACTCACTTGTGCAGAAACAACACCTTTTATTTAAGAGGTATTATAACTAAAGATTCACAGTGCAAGGTGAGTGATTTTCTCTTGATTTAAAAGTGACCAATCAGACAAATGCAATACAAAATATTTTTATAACAGTCAGGAACACATTTGTAATGAGGAAAATATAGCACAAACGCTTAGTTTCCATTAGGGTGAAAAGCACGTGGACGCAAACCTTGAGTTGCCAACTTTGTATCGCAGTTTGTGTGGAAGCAGAACGGACTGTTTGCTCGCTTGTTTTGGGCAGGTTCGTTCAACAGCACGTGTTTGCGCGGCTCCGATCGGTCCAGCCAGGCGCGCGCAACTCTGTGCCATTTCAGACGGCGAGCTTTTAGGATTATACCAGCGAGGCGTGCGCGACAGGTTGACCAGTGCACTCCTGTAGTCCGGCCTAGCCTCAAGCATCGTTTGAGCAGAGTCATTTCCATTCGCAAAACTTCTGTTCCTCATATAAGCCGCGCTGGTGCACGCGTTTGTCCCGTTACTGTACCTGCCCATTGGATAATAACCATCCAATAAACTGATGCGCGGCGCTTTCGTAGTATTATAGGCAGCGCTCAAATCGAAAGCCGAACTAAAATGATTCGTTTGAGGACATATGGACCCGCAGCACGCAGAAAACTGGCAATGCGGCAGACCACGCAATGGCAACGCAGTTATAGGAGTGGGTAAACCGCGCGGATGGGGCAGTCCGATGGGGAACCCGAAAGCAGCCTCCACTGGGGGGGTTTGGAGATGAACGGCTGAGAGGGCGGCCTTTAATTTGTCATTTTCCCGTTGAAGCTCGACGGCCCGAGTCTCCAGGAGATGTTCCTCCATCCTCTTGCGCTGGCGAGACCTCTTCGCTGCCTCGTTATTGCGGTTCCGTTTGAGCCAGTAATTCGTGTCTTTCTGCTCGTCAGGCGTGAACTCTCTTTTCCGTCGCGTCGCGTTGTTCGCGCGGAGGCTCGGCGTCGCGTGAAGTTGGTTGGCACCCCGTGCATTACTGATGCAAGTCAGTTCATCATGCGTGGAGCAACAAGTACCCGATGACATCTCAGCAGGGGAAAGCTGGTTCGTTATGCAAGTGTAAATTATTTGCAGTTTGTGTGCCAAAAAGTGGAGGATATATCAGTTATTATTTTGGTCCCGCCTTTCTTGGGAAGTGGCATGAGATAAAAACACCTACTTTACAGTCATTGGTTAACATGAGCCTGCACACAACTCTCACTAGTACATATCATGAGCCATATAAAATAAATGATTGTGCTGTTTTAATTACAATATCAATGCAAAATGCTTTTCCAATGTCTATAGCTTGTAGCCTTCTAGAAGTTGAGCAAAACCCCCACAAGTAATATCATTATGTATTACTTTATTGGATTCTCCACGTGCCTGGATAAACAAAATATATGGTTAATATTTGTTAATAACATCTGGGTAGAAATAAAGTTTCTGGTTGGTATGACTTTAAAGTAACACTACTGGTTAAACAAAACCTGCTTAAAAAAAAAAAACGAGACAAAGAACATTACAAACCAGTTACAAATCTTCAAGAGAGTCAATGGCATAAATTACAAATCTTTACAACAGGAATTCAATGTTTTATAAAAGCAACTTCTAAAAAAAAAAAGGACAAATGGCTTGTCTTTGCACATCTTATATAGTCCAATATCGTGATCCATGATGCACATCAATGCCCTCAACAAATCCATTTGATCCTGTGGAGCTAAAATAAGTAAAATAATCAAAGTCTTGTTCTCGATGACACTGTCAACTATGACGTGGTTACATTAATGAATGGTACCCACAAAAATTGCTGAAATGGTGTTTCAAGTTGCACAGCAACAGTAAGAACATGCATTCTTCTGAATAGCTTTGCAACAATTTGATTAAAACGCCCAAACCAACGAGATCTATTGCCGAGTCACGTCTGCTACCGAACCCAAAGCAAAGCCTCTTCTTCATAGACTGTGAAAAACTGCAGCTGAAATCTCTTATAAAAATATCTCCAACAGCATGACGTGTCCGTCCATCAGTGTCTGCTGATTAACCCATAAATAACACCACGTCCATGTGTCATTCACCGGTTTCCCTTCACTTTTTAAACCTGTACAACTGATAAAAAAGTCAAAAAATGACACCGCAGAGAATGCCTCTTCTCATCTGCTGAAACAGATCGTCTATGCTTCTGAACTGATGGCGTTGCGCTCAGTCTGCGTGCTGTCGTTGTCCCCCAGGAGCTCGGTCTCGGGAACAGAGAGGTCCTCGTTGTGCAGGCCGCTTTGAGACGCCCCGTCAGCGAAATCCTCCTCTGTGGCCTTCAGGTCTTCATTCATGAGGGCCCTCTCGGTGCCGGACCCGTTGGAGGGGGCCGTGGTGACGTAGCCGGTGCTGGTGGAGCCGCTGCCGCTGTGGTGCGACCCGGCCTTGGCCACCATCAGCTGCTGAGGGGGGGGCATCTGCACCGGGATCTGCATGGGGTAGAAGTTCTGCAGGTACGGGTACGCCGGCATCGGCTGGTAGCCATTGACTGGGATGTAGAGTTGGGGCGGCACCATTGGGCGCATCTGGCCCTTCATGGACACAAACTGGGGTTGAGGAAACGGAGACTTCTTGGGACTCACGTAGCGGGCGTTGCTGATGTTGCTGACGGGGCTTGTGCTGAGGGAGCTGGTTTGGGTGGTGTTGCTCGCTCCTGAGGTCTGAGCCGAGCTGTTGTAGTTGGACAAGCTCTCCCAGGTGCGCAATCGAGCGTGAACGTCTTTGAAACGAGGCCTTCGTGCGGGGAACTCATTCCAGCACTCTAACATGAGTGTGTAAATCCAGGCTGGACAGTCATCGGGGCAGGAGAGCACTTGTCTGTTGCGGACCATCTCAATCACGTCCTGGTTGGAATAGCCGCAGTATGGCTGAAGGCCGTAGCTAAAGATCTCCCACAACACCACGCCGTAAGCCCAGATGTCCGAATCCGTGGACAACTTCCCGTATAGTATGGCTTCCGGGGACATCCAGCGGATTGGGAAGGGATTGGCGCCCATTAGCTTGTAGTAGTCGGCGGAGTAGACCTCTCTGAACAGCCCGAGGTCCAGGATCTTGACATTGAGCTTATCACACACCAGGATGTTTCGAGCAGCCAGATCCTTGTGGACCACGTGGTGGCTGGAGAGGTACTCCATCCCGGCGGCGATCTGCGTGACGATGTGTAGGAAGTCTGCCTGCTCCAGGGTGGATTTGACCGTCTTGTCGTCGTCAGAGCTGCCGACATCGGAGTGAGGGGATCGCATGACCAGGAACTCGTGGAGGTCGCCTTGGCCTGAGTAGCTGAAGATCATGCTCATGGGCTGCTCTTTAGTGATCACTCCCAGCAGGCACACGATGTTGGGGTGTTGCAGGCGGGACCGGAGCATGGCCTCGTGCCGGAACTCTTCCCGGAGAGGGCCCTCGTCCTTGTCTTTCACCGTCTTTATAGCCACCACCTGAGTCTGTTCACCTGGAGCTGTGCCGTAGAGGTGACCTTTGTAGACCTTTCCGAAACGGTCCTCTCCGAGCTCTTCCATGAACCGGACCGCAGAAAGGTTGAGTTCTCGGAGCTTTGCCTAGAAGTAAAAGAAAACAAGACATTTCAAGTCTGCTTTTGCTCAACTAAAGGGGCAAAATGTCAAGATGTAATAAAATTCTGGCACATCGTTCCTCAAAGCATTCAAGTCCATTTTGACCCAGAAGAGATACAGGATTTTTGGCATGGGTTTCAATACTGCAACCAAACTTGATCAAAATACACATTACATTTTTCAAAGAGTTTTTTTTTAATGACTATAACAACTTTTTTTTATAAATCTATGGGTGTTTGTAAAATATTTGGCCCCTTTCCCATATCTCACACACTCATCTTTTGACCATTGCAGCATTAAAAAAAATTTTTTTGAAAGTGAAAGTTTATGCAAGTAAAATAAATATATTCAGTTTGAAAACATTTCAGGATGATATTGACATTTTGTTAGAAAATGAATATGTAGTTGCAGTTTTTGAGAAGAATTCATTTAAATCCATTGATTTAATACTGAATTAATTGATTTAATCCATTGAGTTTATACTGCTAATTCTCAGATTATGTTCATATAAATATCATATGATACATTCGAATACAATTTTTCATAAATATTGGGGAAAACATTTCTTGCATCACAATTTCAAAGAATGTCTCGATGTTTTAATTGATGAAAGGGTAACAAAACACAGTAACATTCAAGACGTTGTCATTTTTTGTGCATTCACTCATTAACGACCAGTTATTGATCAGATACAATATGATTTTAGTTGCAAACATGAAGTAATTACTGAATGTAAGCTTGCGTTCCGGATCGTTTGCAGATTCTGAATACATGAAGAGGGTTAAGAGGTTCAACAGCTCCATTGCTGAAGATTACCTGCTGCTTGTGCTGACTGAGCAGCGGCAGCTCCATCTCTTGGCTCGGGGAGGCCGAGAGCTGCCGGCGAGCAGGGCTGTCGACAGACTCCTTCTGTTTGTTGCGGCACATGCAGATCAAGAAGAATAAGCAGGCAATAACAAGAGGGGTGGCTATACTGGGGATCAAGATGTACAGGATCTCCTTTTTCATTTGCTCCGGAGGATCTGGGAAAGATGGAAAACAAAATGATTAATATTGCTTAAATTCGTTGAATCTTCAGCCCACCCTGAGGGTCACGAGGTCGAGGTGTTCTACTCACTGCAGGGCTGGATGTCACAGACGTCCGCTCTAACATTCGGGTCCAAAGTGAAACACCAAGGGCTCTCCATTTGCCCACCAGGGTTCCTGCAGAAGTTGTGTCCCCCCCTGAGCTCAGGGTACTCGACAGGCGTCAGGTGATGGCTGTGTGGATACTGGGCACTCCAGGGCTGGCACTGGTAGCCTGATTTCGTGACACTCACCGTGCCTTTGTAGTTGGCGCCACTTCCATTGTAACAGCTGTGATTTGGGGGTGAATCTTTAACAAGGATTGAAAATTAGCAGGTATTTTCTCTCAGAACATTGAGCAAATGTACATCAGAGTCATTGAAATAGTCAGAGTTATAGACTAATACAACCTTAAGAAATGTTGGTTACACTTTATTTTAAGGTGTCATTGTTACAGTATATTTAAGTACTGAGTAATATTAAGCAACTACAGGATGTACTTACTATAGGGTTAGGGTAGGATTAGCATTTGGTTGAGCGTGAGTTGCATTTAATTATGCCTAATTTACTGTTATTACTATGGTAAGTACATGTAACAAGGACGCTGTAAATAAAGTGTTACCGAAATTTTTGACACACCACAAGAGGGCTCTCTCGCTTTAATTGCTGCTGCTCTTTGAGGCCAGTTACATTAGATCTCATTATTGAGTTTTCCCAGGCTCTGAACCCCTTCTTGTGTTTGGGAGTGGAGTGGTGATGACCTACATTGGGGCGGCAGGCCGATGCGAAGGCAGCTGGCCGCGTCCGGAGAGCCGGGGTGGGGGAGCAGGTTACACACGGGCAGCTCCAGCTGCATGAGGATCAGAGGGTTGGAGCGTGCGATGGTGTACTCCGCGTTACACAGGTCGTTCTCCAGAGCCTCGCACTCGTCCCGGCAGAGCTGGCGCCGGCGCGGACCTCGGCTGGCCTCCTCACATAACGGGAAGACGTAATAGCAGAACGATGGGATGGCAAATTCAGAGCACTGGTCTGAGAGCTGGGTTGAGGTGCCGATCATCGTGAAGGCCGCTGGAGAACAACACAGGCATGATGAATAATCAGACGCAGAATGTATGGTAGGGCTGCATGATATATCGGATTAAAAGTGACATTGGGATGTGGCTTAGTGCGACTGTCAAATCACGCAGGCTGCTATTTAATAAAGTATGTGTATATGTATATGTGTTAGCGGTTTCAGAGTCTCAGAACGGCCTGGTTCATTTGCAGGGAATCCCGCTGGGAGCCGCATGTGTAAATGAACATACAGTGCCTCACTCTGGAGCCAGCAGCACGTGTACAGTTCTGCTCATAAGTTTACACACCCCTTGTAGAATATGCAAGACGATAATAATATATATTTTTTAAATGGGGGATCATAACATTTCAATTTTTTTAGGACTGTCCTGAATAAACAGATGTTTACATAAAATCCACAAGACAAAATAATAACAGAATTTTCACAAATTAACCAGTTTCTGGAATGATTCATTTCTTTCCAAATAGAGCTATTCAAGTCATCTAGTGAAACTTCCTGTACTTTTTCTCTTCACAATATATATCGCAGAAAAACAAAATCTGGCAAGGTCAGTTTTTAATGATGATGTTTGCTCACCAGTGATGCGGTTTTCACTTTCTCCCTGCATCTGCAGAGACTCCACGTAGATGCTCTGGTTTCCAATGAAGCGAGCGCATGCAATGCCCCGGTACGGCTGGCAGAAGCCCTTCTCATGCGGTCTAGAAGAAAAGGACAGACAGTGATGATGACCAAGATGAAAGCTTGCCTGAGTGGCACACAGCTGATATCTAGTAAGGCAACTCAACTAATAAAGCGGTGCGTTGTATAAGACGACCCACACAGGACAACTCGGGACACCACATTACACATCACAATACCATGTGATTATGACAATTTAAAGTCCCCCTGTGGTGAAAATCAAGCTTTTAAATGTTGTTTATAAGTCTATGTGGTGTTTTTAATATGCTTTAAGACAAACCACGTGTAAGTTCATAAGTCGACAGCATTGCTGAGTATTTTCTGCTTAAAACTGCAGTGAACCAAAGACAGCCTCAAAAACACGGTGTGAAATCGCTGGTGTTTCTGACGTCACACACTACCTTGTAACCAATCAGATCAACGTGTGATCGTCAACCAGTGGATCTCTGAGCTGAGGGAGTGAGTGGAGGCGGGGCTCATCTGCATATTCATAGAAACGCGCATACTAAATGAGGCAAGGGTGTCGAGTTACATTCAAGATATTTTAAGGCATAAAGAAATTATTTTCAAGGAAAAAACTTTTAAATGTCATTTTGGGGATCAAAGAAGAGTTTTAAGAGATACAATTATTGACTATGGGGGGACTTTAACACTAATTACACGGTCTATATTTGGTGTATGTCATAATTTTAACTTATTAATCATTTTTCATGGATGAGAGTAATGATATTTCCATCCAGACTGACCGATCTGCAACCCTGGCCTCGAATGTTAAACTAATATCCTGCTGACCTCGGCGAAGAGACCACAGTAATGAGCATTAAGGGACTCTCGAGTGAGCCTGTGCATCTCATGACCTCTTGTTCCAGGATCCTGAACTCTAGGTGCTCACGAAGAGCCAACGCGATACAGAAGTCCAGTCACCGTGGACTGCGGTTCGAGTGTTATGATTGGAGCACTTCTGAAGAAGGTTCAATGGTTGTTTATTAAGCTACTTTTGGGCTTTGCTGTTTCTCTCATCATAATCTGAATTTGAAGTGACCAAAAGATTTGCTGCTCAGGATATCCATCTCTGCTGTTTATGCAGTTACCAACTGGATAAAAGTGGTCTATTCTGGCAAAACGGAAATGGGTTTGGATTCTGAACTTGATGCCTAAAGGGATTTTTTTTGTCTCCACAACAGACATTTGTTTCAGTCTTACAATGAACTGACAACGCACAACAGCAATGATTTCCAGAGCTGAAATACAATCCTGGTGTAAGGCTCTGGTCCAAAACCATGTCTATACCTTCTAAGGCAGCATCCAAGCTCAAATTGAACTGGAACATGCGCAACACAAGCAGAAACTGTGCCGTTAAAACAGCTGTAGTGGAAACTAAAGGTGCACAACTCTTGCTTCATTCACCATCTTAGATTTTTTTCAAAGAGCTTGATGAAATGTGCGAAGGTTCATACAATGCTACCTAAGAATTTGGCCAACATATTAAAGCCGATAAATAATGTATTGTTTCCTTCAGCTGAGACACTTCAGATGCGCACTGTTCACCATGATGGTTTTAAATTGCTTGAAATATGATTAGAATCACTTCAAAAAGGAAAATACAGTAAAGTGCAAGGTCATTTAGGCTACATCAAATTATGAGAACATTATAATTGTGTGCTTGGGACATGGCTTTTAATGGTGAGACTTGTTTTGTAATCAGGCTCTCAAAAATTACATACAAATTTGGATTCAGATTTATCGCCCAATATATTCATTGGTTATGGGCTTTCAAATATTACGAATTATCGGCTATCGGTAGCGACCAAAATGTTCATATCGGTGCATCCCTACTGTATAGACTAGAGTGCATAGTTTTGCTTGCTTGTGAGACTCGTGCACTGCAAACAGATCCGTTACCAATCCTGAACAACAGGAAAATACATTTTCTCCAATATCTCACTAATTTTCTGGAGTTTAGTGATATGGCCTAGCCTGGATGCCAGCCGAACTTAACCCCGCCCACAACATTTGAGGATGGGAAGTTTGGTCTTGATCCGTTGTGAAGCAAGTATGCCCGAACCAAAGCTGTTCAGGCCAATCAAAGTGTCAGGGCGGGCTTTATACGATGATGGACAGATGATCAACCGTAACGTAATCATCCACGTCACCAAAGAGCGCTTGGGTTGAATTCGTTTACAACAAAGATGGCCGCCGCTGGAGAACTGAGATGTGTAGATTCAGCCATCGCGTCTGTTATAGAAGATCTAGACAGCGCATTCGTTTTTAAAAGAGGAACAGAACCGCGATCAAGGCATTTGTCGATCGGAAAGATGATTTTGCGGTCATTCCTGCGGGATTCGGTCTATCCAATTGGGTGCAGAGGCATTTTCTTTCCTGGCTTGGTTGAAACACACCCCATAATCACAGCCCAATGGAGCAGAATCAGACTCACACTCTGACTAGAATCCGAGTATGATGACGTCAGGCTAGATATGGCCAACAATTTTCTGAAAATGTCCAAACCTGGCCCAAATGCAACATGATCAGAAACAAACACACTTATGATCCCCCGGGGTTTGACATTTTAAGCTGATCCCTAGTCATTCAAAGTTTTCCGATGTTTTTAAAACTGTTATAAATCACACACTGCTGCTCTGAGAACTCCTGTGCTGAAACCTGTGAATGGATGTAGTGTGAAGCTTAGCTAAAATAACTGCTCTCTGAAGGAATTTCACACTTTTCACTTTGCTCCATCTGTGGCAGGTTGCCAGTACCCGCCATCAATGCCCCAAACTTTTGCTACGTCCAGCCTCAATATCACATATGGTTACAATTTCACCGCAGTTTGGATTAAGCAAGGAATTTTCTCTCAAGCTAATGTTTAGGGACTCGGGCCTAACAAGATTCAGATTTACTTCCTACTTTTTTTGTGTGTTGTTGAAATATTGAAAAAAAAATGCAAAGCATTAATTCCCTAATGGCTGTTCTTTGTATCCAGTTCAAAGTTTACAACAACTGGATATTAGTTTTGCTTAAAAGTTTGACGTCAAGAAGATTGAACAACATTTTTTAACTTTCTGACCCGCCTCACATATACTCAACATTTATCAGTGTGAAAAGACAATGAGGCTGTCAAGTTGTAAGCAACCAACGCAACTGGAGATTTGTGGGTCTTGTGCTCATCTGTAACCACTTATGTAGAGAAAAACAATACTCTGCCTCGATCAAATACATCTACATGTGGTCTTAATGCTCTTCTACTTGGATAATATTCTTCTTTGATGGCTCTTATTATAGATTATCCTCGCTGTCCCACAGAACAAATGCAGCCTGGGACTTTCGTTTGACCCCTAAAGGCCCCGATATACTTCAAGTGAAATCAAAGAACTGGTGTGACGTCATTTCAAAATAAATTTCTGGGAAAGTTCGCTCTGACTGGAAACACCTTCGAACTACCATTGGTTCGTGGGCGATGATGTAATAAGTAGGTGTGGCTCTGAGGCTCCGCCTTCTTTGAGATGTAAATCTTCTCTGGTTCATTTCTTCTCTGCTTTATAAAAAGAGTCGCTTTATAGTAGAAATTGAAGTTGTAATTCTGACTGAAAGAGACACTGACACTGTTTTCATCTTTAATTCAGTAAAGCTGCTGATTTAAAGTGATCTGTTGTATAAAGTGCTATATAAATAAACTTGACGTGACTGGACCACAGAGCTGGTGCAAACATCCACATCACTAAGATCAGAGGCTTTCTGAACTGCTGTTTTCTGATTATTTTGTTATTGAGAGGAAAGCATGCAGCTATATTGACATATTCATCTAAATGTGGACTGCGTTGGGATGTTCGCTAACAGTAAACTGCTGCTCAGGCATTTCAAACAACTTTTCCCCCTATAAGTGAAGAAAGGAAAATAACTTCGCTGTGAGTATATCAGGACCGTAAGAGGGAAGTTCAAAGAAACTGTGCATTGCAGGCAGGAATCATTTTTAGCTCAACAGTTGGACAAACGTAGCCTGGCATGCCAGACCTACATCAAGATGTTAGGTCTGGGAACTCATCATTGACAGGGCTCAATCTGATGGGCGGGATAAACGGTTGTCTTTCAAATTCTCTCAGCACGCAATTGGATAGCGCTACAACCAATCAGAGCAACGAAGAAGGGGACGTAGTCAGCGGAGCAAGTTGATATATTAAACTTTTACCGTATCCAGTCCATAGCTGTCAACATTGAACATTGAAAATAAGGGAGATTTCCAGGAATCCATCCCCAAAATAAGGGATTTTGTTTGTTTTTTACACGACCCACAAACTTTAAAAATAAAACACTAATCATTAAAAGTCTAAAGAGTTTATAACTAGCCTATGTGTGAGAGAGTAAGAGACAGTATGTGTGTGTGTGTGTGTGTGTGTGTGTGTGTGTGTGTGTGTGTGTGTGTGTGTGTGTGTGTGTGTGTGTGTGTGTGTGTGTGTGTGTGTGTGTGTGTGTGTGTGTGTGTGTGAGAGAGAGAGAAAGAGTCATTAAAAAAATTTTTGTCATTAAAATAATAATATCATAGAGAATGTTTAAATACTAATATCAGCTTACGAGGGAAACGGAGGCGGAGTAGTGGTGCTTCGGAGTGCTGGAGATGATTCGGAGGTCCTTTACCGATCAGAGCGCGCGCTGACACGGAGTAAATCAAGCCTTTATACTCGATGCGTCCGCACGAGTGCGGCAAAAATGACAAGTTGATCGTTTCGCCACAGCTTTTTTGTAACAGCACGCGCGGCGCCGCATCCGAGGATGAATGACTTCAAACCGAATATGTCCGAGCTTGCTCTGACCGTCGCAACTCTGCCGTCATTGTGTTAAGCCCGCCCACCAACTCTATACACGATGTGATTGGCCTGACCAGTTTTTGGTTTTTCCAGCTAAAACGTCTATGGAGAGTTGCTAGACCACACTGGCAGCGAAATGATTTTTGCTGCCGCTAGGGTGCGTCTAGATTTCTAGGCTAGGACAAACGTATTCCTGATAAAAATATTTGTTTAGAAGCGGTCGGTGCAGGAAGAGGAGTTAACACCGAGGATTAGGCTAATGCCAAGGCGTCTGCTGAAACTCACTTCACTAGTGTGTGCATCTAACCGCTGGACAGGAGCAGAGTATGTGTTGTGTTGTCTACTCGATAGAGAGAGAGAGAGAGAGAGAGAGAGAGAGAGAGAGAGAGAGCTATATATGCAGTACTGGGAACTGAAGGAAGACAAACACAGCAAACTACCTCTACCTGCACATCTTACTGAAGCTCTCATCTCAACTTAGGACCCAGTGCAAACAGGGCCAGATCCCATTTCCACCTAACATCAACGTTAACACAATAAAGGTGACATATTATGCCCCTTTTCAAGATGTTATATAAATCTATGGTGTCCGCAGAATGTGTCTGTGAAATTTCAGCTCAAAATACCCCCAGATAATTTATTATAGCTTGTCAAATTTGCCCTTTTGGGTGTGAGCAAAAACACGCCGTTTTTGTGTGTCCCTTTAAATGCAAATGAGCTGCTGCTCCGCCCCCGCTCAGAAGAGGCCGATCCTTTACACCAGCTTCGCATGCGATAACAAAACATGCGAATAATCTCACTCATCCAATAACCCGTAGCGGAGTGCAGACTTACAGAGACTCAGGAAGAGGTAACAACTTAGCGACGTATAAAGAAGTGCTCACACGAATACCACGTTAAAACCAGCCATCTGCTGGTCAACAAACATCTCGCACGAAATTCCAGATTGCGTGGATTGATTGTGCCGAACCGCGGTAAATGTGGCTGCACCTTCACAGCATTGATCTACAGTATGTCAGTTTGTGGGAATGAAGGCCGAATCCCATTAACACGAGCACTGCCCTGGAAATATCCCCACAGACATTGTACCATTTATTTAACCTGGAAAAGGAAACATGAGGACCTGCCATAAAATTTCCCCGAGCAAAGGCGGCTGCCAGCGATCTCTTCGGCTCTTAGGGAAGTTAAGTCAGATACTGGTTCATGCCAAGATACAATCCTGTGTTTTTGTTCTTTTTGGAAAAGCAGGTCCTGCTTTTATTTCCACTAATCAACCAAAGCTTTTTGTCATGACAAGGTAAATAGAAAGCGAGTAAGAGAAAGAGACACTTACGTAGATCTACCCTTTTGCCATATTTATGTTATAAGAGGACAGCCAGCAAAGAGCTTTAAACTAAACACTAAACTGTTTTTCTATCGTCTCAAACTTCACTTCACACAATTGCAAAGATATCGGATCAATTTTAAGCAGACACGTTTTTTTAAACAACGTGATCCAACTCAAAGTCCTCCCAACATCTGACTCTTTTTGAGAAGAACTCATGAAATGTAGGGCCAAGTGTGCATTTTTGAAAGAGATGAGGCCAATGGGTTGGAATAAACAATTGACCATGTGGAAAATTTACCTTTTATTTACAGAAACAAACACAAAAAGCAGGGAAAAGTGAATGCACACAGAGACAGGCGGACAGAAGCAGTACTTACGGATCTGATCCAGTGGGTGGGGACTGTCCTGTAAAACACAGATAGGAGGAATTACGGACAAGCGTCTTAACATGATCTTCCCTTAGGGAGCAGCTGTTTTCACAAAGCCTAATTTGCCGTTTCAGCTCAAGAGAAGTTGGAGTGTTATTACGCCAAGATGACTTTTCAGAGAAGGCAGGAGGCACGGCGCAAGCGAGCTCCTAAACCTGTCAAAGGCATAATGTGAAATATTGGACGTGCTCCTTGTGGAGAATTTACCGTACGCACATAAAAGGGATTTTTTCCCCCCCAGAAGGAAACAGTGGGAAGTTGTTTCTTAAGAAGAGTCCTAATGCAGGAACACTGAGATTTATGCCGCTGCTTTCCTATAAATATACAGGGATGCCAGGGTGAGATTTGGCGCATATGGTTGTAAAACAGTGCTGCTTTAGTTTGCTCTGTAAATCAAATGGACTCCCCAAATAAGCCAAAAAAGGGTGAACGGGAAAAGAAAACACTAGAGCTACAATACAGAGGAGAACGCACTGATTGTGAGGAAGAGTTATAAAAGTCTGAGAGGAGTTTATAGTGGGATACCACACAGGTATATTTAATTGAGCTGGGTTCATGTGACGCCATCATTCATGGCAATCATTTACAAAAATAACTATGCATTAAAACCAACAAATATCTGCAATGAATGGACATGTGTGCCTTTCAATAAACCTTTCAAAAGTTTAAAGAATGAAATATGCCCAATGATTTCAATGTATTTTTTTTATTATTTAATAGCCAGATTCTGGGTGGAAAAACTACACTACCCATAATCCCGAAGAGAGCTCCACCAATGAGAAAAGCCGCTGTTAACAGCTCAGCAGGGATCCCCCGTCCCATGAAGCATTGCGAATGATGTCACTGAGTCTCAAGGTACAATATACACTAGCTTTCAAAAGTAATCGGTGTGATTTTTTAAGGGTTTTGAAAGAAGTCTCTTTTGCTAAACAAAGAGATCAAAAATCAAACAGTAATATTGTGTTTAAAACAGCTGTTTTCTATGTGAACGTACAGTAAAGTGTAATGTATTCCTGTGATCAAAGCTGAGTTTTCAGCATCATTACTCCAGTCTTCAGTGTCACATGATCCTTCAGAAATCACTCTAATATGATGAAACTCGTCTGATTATCATCAGTGTTGAAAACAGTCGTGCTGCTTCATATTTTTGTGGAATCCTGCTTTTTTTTTTCCAGGATTCTCTGATGTATTGAAAGAACAGCATTTATATGAAACATTTTGTAATGTTATAAATGTCTTTACACTTTTTGTATCATTTTAATTGGTCTTTGCTGAATTAACGGTTGTGTATACAATATATGTATACAACTATATTTGTACATAACTAAATATTTGGCAAAAACCATTTTATGTTCAACAAAGGCATTGTTTTCTCTTTAGATCACTTCATTCGCAATGCTTCATGGAACCTGTAGTTCATTCCCCCTTAAAAAACAATGAAGAAAAACATCATTTTGTAATGTTGGTATTCATTTCAGAACTGTTTTTGGATCACAGATTAAAGGTCTTCAATGAACCAGAATTGGAGTAAAAAAAGCCATCATTTACCCAGTCGCACATATAGCACTCCAGTTGCCGAGATAACTTTGATGGAGTTTGAAGCCACACACTGGTAGTATCCGGTGTCGGTGGTGTCCAGGTCTTGAATGCGGAGCTTGGATCCGGCCTCAGTCTTGCGGATGGAGATCCGGCCCTGCTCCTGCACCACCGGGGCGTCGTTCTTCAGCCAGCGGATGTTGGGCCGCGGGTGGCCCGCTACTTTGCAGTGTAAAGTGGCCGTCTGGCCCTGCACTATAGTTATATTGTTTGGCGGCTCCACAAACTCCAGGAAATAACCTGAGGGAAAAGGGCAAGGAAGGCTGTTAGAGGGGTCAAAGGTGGAGACCCGGAGCATCAATGCAGGCTTAAGAAGAAATCAACCCCCAATCCTCCCTCAGAGGCCTGTGACAGACACCACATTTAGACCGTGAAACCATTTAACATTTCAAATGATGTGTTGGTTTCTGCCTCAGGAAAGAGCACAAGACTCAAGTCTCAAAGAAAAAAAAACATTGTGAATGGAAACAAATTAAGGGCCAGATTTGAGTAACAGCTTGCGCCAGCGCAAACCATCTTTTGCAGTTAAAAAATACTGTCAGTGAAAAATTAGCATTGAAAAGGCATGGATACAGTTATTTCTGTGCCTTGTTGTATATATGCATTTGCTGGAGTTTCCCTTTCAGAGGCAACATTTGGAGGGATTGCAGAAGTCAATGTACTGGTATTTGGTACCACTGGTACTGGTACTGGTACCACTGGTACTGGTACTCTCACGGAGACTTCAGATGCCCCAACACCTGCGATGAGACGACTCGACGCCTGTGAAGAGACGACTCAACGCCGGCGATATGTTATGCCCTAAATTAGTACATGATGACTAACTAACTATATTCTTCTATGTACATTTCTGAAATGCACTTTCTGTAAAGCTGCTTTGAAACAATATGTATTGTGAAAAGCGCTATACAAATAAATTTGAATTGAATTGAATTGAATATTTGCAGCATTATTTAATGCCGAAAAAAGCAGTTTAGTAAATCTGGCCCTAAATATCAATTTTACATCATACATTCACACATTAAAACTGAACAATTTTAGAATGGAATAAATCCGAGGCTGAACAATTAATCAAATCATGATATATCATAGTGCGATTATCAAATTACATAGTGTTAAATAGATGCAATGAACACATTCACAATGCGTTCATTAACACACAGGCAGCTCATTAACACTAGTGTTTTCTGTGTCTCTGAGTGGCAGAAAATACAGCTTTTAGTTTGCAGTAAAACTGCTCTGTAAATAAATGATTCACTGAATAATTCACTCAACCAATCTGTTCAAAGCCACTGAATCATTGAGGAGCAAAACTCCACAACTGTGTGTTACAGTGATCCTGCTGTGGCCAAGTGGCTCGCTTTAAAACTTCATTTGTTGGCAATATGGACCCTGTTCACATGTCCAGTGTTCTCAGATGTTGAGTTTGACATTGGGAAACTACAGCCAGTTTGATTGCTGCGTTCCAGTTCGCTCCAACAGCTAATTGAGAAAAAATAACCATTATAGCATTTCCACAACTCTGGAAAGGAGGAAACGAGTATAGAGACTAATCAAACAGAAGAGGAAAAAATGTCAAATTTACAATCATTCCCTCAGCCGTTGTTTTAGAAACACCTAAAGTGTGTTTCTAAACTAGTTTTTTTGTTATTTGACGTCAAGGTAATACAAAGTATAGTGAAATGTACATTTTAAATAATTGAAAATATTATTTTAAAAAAACGTTGCTAGACTTACAATATGGTCACACTTTAGATTAGAGTCCAGTTCTCACTATTAACCAACTATTAACTATGATTTTGCTTATTAATTGCTTATTAATAGTTAGTAAGGTAGTTGTTAAGTTTAGGTATTGGGTAGATTCATGGATATGTTTTTTAAATAAACAGCACAATATCCTAGTAATATGCATGCTTACAAGCAACTAGTTAATAGTGAGAATTGGACACTAAACTAAAATGTTACTGACCATGTTAATAACTGTGAAAACACATTATCACAGTCTGTGAAAAGAGTCCATTGTTTCTAATATGCCAGTTACTCAATATTAACATTTATTGAAATGTTGTGTAAATGTGGTATCACACAATTGTGCCTCTTCTTACTCCAACAATTTCTCAGAAACCACTATTAGTTGTAATGTGGCATTTTCAAATTAATAACAGACGCTTGGACACTGACATCTTTTGAACTATAGGTTGACAGATCCCGAATCTGCGGCGTAAGAAAGTAGTTCCACAAACAAGAGCTTCTTTTCGACACTACTCGTCTTTGTCTTATTTAAATACCTCTTCCATTTACATAATCTACTTGTTCTATGAACTGATATAAAACTCTGGCTCATGTGATATTGCTTTATTAACAGACTCAACATTTTGTTTGCATGAGCCACTTTGAAGCCGCTCCAGGATTTTTGCTTTCCGACCAAGAATTTTCAATTTGCTACATCACATTTTTGTGTTTGTTTTAGTTGAAGTTTTTGTCTGATTTTTCGAATGGAGAAGATAAACAGGACCGGTCAAGGCCTGACCCCTGCATTAGATGGCAGAGTTTTAAATGAACTACTCAACTCAGGGAAAGCACATCTGGATTAAACAATTCCAGCTTCAGCTCAAAACAAACATCTTCTGTTGAGTGGTCCCATCCTGACAACTGCGGATGAAAGGAATGTCTCAGGAGGGGTTTTGTTTGTTTTGGCAAACCTATGATTTGTAGACCTAAGCAATGTAGCAAACAAACCCTGAAACAGCCATTCATGTTGGGGAGAGCAGAGCTTCGCAAATGTGCAGGACAGGAGTTGATAAAACACCCGAAGATCCTTTCAAAGTAGGACTTATACAATAGATTTTGAATATCGTGGCTACAAGAATTTACAATTACAGTATTAATTGAAATATTAAGTTCGGGGAAAACCGTTCTCGTTTACTTTGTGTTTTCACAACAAAAAATGTTATCGCTCAAAATATGAGTTTAGGGAAGTAGAAACTAGAGTTTGTAACCATTGATTTTGACATTTTGACACGAACGACATGATTTTGTGCGACAGCAGCAGCTACACACGGGCTTTTTTGCTTTATGACAAGTGGCAACCAGCATTAAGGTGCAATAGCGCCGCCTATGTTGGAGGGTCAACCAATATCATTGTGTAATTTTATATAATATCAATATTTAATTTTTGTAATATCACGGTTATCGTCAATTCCGGTATATTGCAAATCCCCTATTTCAAAGACTCTGCAATCTTTCTCTACATCGCCCTTCTTTAACCCTCTGCATTGTAAATCTCTCACATATGTCAATGTCAAGCTAGATAAATGTCTGTCAAGGAAGATTTAGCTTGCCAGTGATTAGGCTAACAATTCTGTTAAAAAACTGTAAAACATGAAAGTGTTCTGCAATCATTTAAGAAATAGGTTCCTATATAGAACTTCTTTGGCATTAAGCATTGTTTAAAATTGATTCAAGGACCCTAGGGCTCATATATGGATCCCCACTGAACCTTTTTTATAAGTAATAACAATTATTTAGTTCAGTTAGAGAACAAACACTACAGTTAAAAGCTGAACACATCTGCTCAATTCAGCGCGAGCCGAACGAGAGTCGCAGCAGGATTCAGATTTCACCTCACCTCACTCTTGACTGACAAGACAATGGCGGAAGATTTGTTTTTAAGCAAGTTCATCATTGTTCTGTTTTGTTGTTGTGTTTATTAAGAATAATAATGAACCCACAATTCAGCAATTGACCGTTCGCAAAGACCCGCCCCCTTTAGTTACTGTTGCTATGTCCGACAAGCTACGCCGCTCTCACACACACCATGTTCTCACACAGTACAGTACATCGCGGAGCAAAGAGGACACTGACAACGCGCTGACAGACAGGACAGACCAGGCTACTTTTGATATGAAACAAAGTCTTATCTTTCAAATTTGGTCATTTTTAAAAGAAATTTAAGCAATAAATACCATTTTGTGGCTCTTTAATGTGTCTGACAGATCGCTGCCTCAGTTAAAGCTGCTGGTGAACCGATCATCTCTTCCTTCTAGTTCATTTATAGCATCAAATAAACATGAATGAACATAAGGAGTGTTGTTTTAACCGCGGAAAGACGTCAGTACACTCAGTTTTTCAAGTTCAAATCCTCCAATGTTAATCTACTAACTCTCCTGACTGCTTTTTCTGACAAAAATGGTGGATTCGGCGGATGGTGGATTATGATTGGTCAGATCGCCTGTCAATCAAACTCCCTGCGAAGGGTCAATTGCCGCACCCGAATTGGCGCTAATTCACCAATTCGCGAAAGTAAAATGCGCATTCATAAGGGTGCGTGTCCACTGGGACTGAGCGAGCGGAGCAATGCAAGCGTTTTCAGTTCATTCCTGGAAGCTCAACTTTTATGGGAATTATTTGAAAACGCTCGTTCTGTTCCGCACCGTTATGAATGCACGTGCGGCCGTGCACATTTTACTTTCGCGTTTACTTCCAAATTAGCGATTTAAAAGCTAGGTGAAAAAGAGGTCTATATATATGGCGATTGTATTGTCAAGGAATGTAGTTAGTTTTAAAACAGCAGTGTCTGGCTCAAGTGAGTCAGAGGCCTCCTCCTCTTCACAAAGACATGAGAGATGACTCGATGGTGTGGATGTGAGAAATGCAACAGCACTGCATGATGGGAAAACAGAGAAAGTGGCAGCAAAAGGGCAAAGAGAAGAGGCAATGGGCCTGGGTAACCTCAGCCTGAACAGTGTGAGCTCATAGCATGTACAGAGCCAGACGGAGCTCAAATAAACAGTCGTGTGCGCAAGAGCCAGACCTCAGCCTTATCAAGCAGACATGAAATGTGCTGCGCTCTTGAACCTGATCTGAGATCATATCTCCACAACCCACAGCCATCATAAGGGTGGTATGCAGCCTTAAATGGGTTGACACGCAGTTGCCAAGTTGTCCAACCCACGCATGAATGATTACAAGAGCAAGTATACAGTTTTTAGGCAACACATCCAAACGTGTGGCCTTTCGAAGTGTATAGTGTGCTCGATACACGCACACTACAAAGATTCATCTTCATCTAGTGTCTGCGCTATTTCTCTCCATAAGTTATGACGGATAAAAATGCCTTGGTACTCTTTTAAACTAGACTTGCGTGTATATCTTCATCCCCTCGCAGAAGCGCTCGTAAACGCAGTCACCTATTGTTGTTGCCTTCTCCAGTATTTAGTTTTTTCGATTGTGAAACAATA